GAGAATGTGGTAAAATGCCAGAGAGCCAATGGCCTGACCTCTGGGACTGGGCGATTGTGAAGAAGACCCTCCGTTTCGTGGTCGATCAATAGTAACGTGAAGCGCATACCGCCAAGGAGTCACAGCCCCACCCCTGCCCTGCCCTGCAGCGCCCGGGCGGACAGAGTCTCTCCGGCAGACCCAAGCAGAAAGCAGTCTAGAGCTGCAAAGCCAGCAGGCCACAGCCTGAAATGGCGCTGTGACGGAGACAGACATAACGGTGTTCAATTTTACTTTTGTTAATTGGGTTTAACAGGTTTGTCAGAGCTCCTCACTTTGAGTGCTGCTGCTTTGCATGGCTGGTCGGTCCTTTAGTTCTGGAATTGAAAGGACCGGCTGCAGGCACTGGTTAATCGTCCAAGCTGTGCAAGCAGATCGGTATATTTTCCTTAAGTTGTGTCACCCCACTCTATTATTGTTCTTTGCCTGTAAAAATAAAAAAAAAGCAATAGCTTGTGACAGAGCCCCGAGGGTCGTGGAGCACCTGCATCCTCATTAAAAGAGACAGGAACATCAAGTCCTAGCGAGAGGCGGGCAGTGTGCTCACACAAGAGCTCACAGCAGACTCAGGGTCTGCGAGTCACAGCTGCCTCACTCTGCTCAGCTCCCGGACCAGGCACTGGCACAGGCGCCGATCCCATTGGGAACTCTCAGGCAAGAGCCCGGGAACACCACGTTCTTGTCCATTTCCGAAGGAGCGTAGGTGAATTCGAACTCTGCTGTGCTGAAGAAGCTCGTCATTTCTCGTAAGAATGGTTGCAAAAAAAGAGGAGGTTATTTAGCCCACCTGGAGAAATTCGGCCAGGACACACCCCTACTCTTTTCGAGAAACACCCTGGGATTTTTAACAACCACAGAGAGTCAGGACCTCGGTTTTAAGTCACCTGAAAGATGGTGCCTTTTTACAATATAGTGTCACTATACTGGGGCGTTAGGACCCACACAGACCACAGGGTGAGCACCCCCTACTGGCCCCACTAACACCTCTTCCAGCAGCAGCCTCAGCTTTCCCAGGAGTCTCCAATCCAGGTACTGACCAGGCTCCCACTGCTGAGCTGCCAGTGGGGCTGCCAGTGCTGAATTGCAGGGCGAGAGAGCTGCTAGCTATAACACCTGCTTAGTATTGCAACTCTGTTCAGAGTGCTGTGCCTGTTCTGGGCAGCAGTATTAGAAAAGAGGTCACTTTGAGCAAAAAGACATGAAGAAGAAACTTCCTGAGGCAGAGACTTTATACAGAGAGCAGCCGAACAAACACTGAGAGAGCTGAGGGAGACACAGTCAGGCCTTCGTTAACTTCCTGCCTCTCACTGTCAGCAGTACTGTGCGTCTCAGGAAATGTCATCGATCCCCTCGAGCACAGCAGCTTTTGGGTACCTCTCGAAATGCTGTATACAACATGTAGGCACGGGACAAGGAACTGATCATTTTTTTAGCAGAATGTGCTAAAAGGGAAAGGCTTGGAGGCTGTGCTGTTCCCCGTCTCTCCTGTCACCCCCCCACCCTCGGGGGGATATAACCACACCTTTCTCTGCGGCTCCTCCCGGGATGAAACACCCCCTCTCGCCCACGCGTCACCCACCCACACGCCCCCACACCTGGGCCTGCGCCGCGGCTGGCAGGGGGGCGGGCGCAGGGGGTTAATTGCCGCGAAGATATTTCTGCTCATCCCCGCGGGAGGAAGGAAAGGTGTGATCGCTGGGAGGGAGAAGGATGAGGAGGAGGAGGAGGGTGTGAGATTCCTGCTAGATTCTGCGATGAAGTCCCCCCCCTTCCGAAACTGCCCCCTCCATTCACCCTGAGAGAAAAAAAAAAAACAATCACAGTGCGAGACGTTTCTCTTCTCTGCTCTCTGATCTCGCTCCGACAGGGGCCTGACGAGAGACCCCCTCTGCCCTCCTGCACAGGGAGAGAGTCACGGGATCGGAGCTTCAAAGAAAACTGCTGACACAGGAAATCGATGGAAGCTCTTTTCTGCCGGCTTTGAAAAAGAACAGATAGATCATAACTGAATCAGATATCAAAAGCGACACGCACCTGTTTCTCCGTAAAAACAAAATTCTCCGAATTTGAACAGACGCGACAACCATTTTACAGGCAGCTGTATTGTGGGTCATTCTTTTTTTGGAAGGCGGGGGGGGGGAATCGATCTGGGAACTTATTTCCATTCAGAGCAACGTTCGAGCGCCGTTTTCTGACAACAACACAGTTGTACCCCAGTTTGAGCTTCCTCGGATGACAGCTCTGTCTGTGTCCACCAAGAAACAGCTACGCCCCTGTAACGGAGGCGTTCTTTCGGGACCCTATGCAGACGGCTCAATCCGGGGTCGAGTGAGGAAAACACGGGGAAAAAAGCATGCAGGGGTCAGGAATGAAAACAGGGGGCGTGTCCCTGGTGCGCTGGTGTTTGGGGGAGGTGTGGCCGAGGCAAACTGTCCAAAAGTGAGTCCAAGGGGGAATCCGAGACGAGGCAAAAGTCCAGAGCCGGGTGGTCCATCCAAGACAAACGGGATTAAAACAGGAACCGGGTTGGAACTGGCACAGGAACGGGAACAGGAACTAAAAACTTGAAGGGACCAGGCGCTCCAGGTCCCAGACTCGCCTGGTACAGGAACCAGAGCAGAGCCCGGAACAGAGTGAGCATCTGGCTTTTAAGGTGGACTGAAAAGGGGGCTGGAACAGGGAGCAGGTGCGGGAGATGAGTGAAAAACAAGGAAGGGCTGGAGCGTCCTTAAGAGGAGGGGTTTGCGAGCGTGACAGCCTCACCTCGAGAGAGTTGCTGAGAAACAGAAACTGTGTGAGAATGCACAGTTCAGCGACGCAGAGATGAAGTGGGGGAGCCGGTTTCTAACCGCCGAAGGTGATAATTACTATTGAAGCCGCACCAGTTACACCTCTCATCGACGCGCGGCGGATGGCAGAGGTGTAAATCACACTTACCCTGACACGGCGCATGCTGTAAGTCAGCCAGCGTAGAAACAGCTGTCCCCCCCCCAGCTGCACCGGACCCTCAGCTCTCGCCAGTCCCATGGCAGGTGGCGTCCCAAACCATTTTGCACACACAAACCCTTCTCTCCTCCCCAACACTCCCTCCAGGGGCCTGATCAATAACCTGTCATGTCACGCTACTTTATCTCGAAAGGTTATTGACCCGAGCCGTGAAGGGGACGAATTAACAGTCGCAAATCAAATTTAAATGAATGCCCAATCAATAGCATTTAACACCTTCTCAGGCCCTGCACTGCGAGACCGGCTGTCTGGCTGTGGTTAAGGTCCACCTGAGGATTGATGTGTTTCGGGTTTTGCGGTTTTGCGGTTTTTCATGTTGGTGGCTGACCTCACGCTTGTGTGAACGTACTGGTCAGTGAGAAATTGCCTCACAATTAAGGAGGAACGTCATGGAGTCCAGACCAAAAGCCCGAAGTGGTCACCTCTACTTTTGTTGTGAACAGCCCTGGGATCTTAAAGGATCAAGCCGTTGGGGCATCAAGTTGAACGTCTCATTCAAAGGATCACATCTCCTACAGCACAGTGTCCCCGGTCACTGTATGGGGCACTAGATTGGCAATTCTGGTCCAGGGGAAAGAGCAGCACCTACAGGTCCACAAGGACTAATTAGAGCAGCAGCCTGGTTTTCCTTCGTAATGCTTCCATCCCAGTCCTGACGAGGCCAGGTTACAAGGCAGCTAAGGTGCTGTATTGAGTAGTACACTGGGAATGATCCAAGGCAAAGTTCTGCCAGCGGCCATCTCACCCTGCAGCTCCCAGCTGGCAGCCTGCTGCTCCTGGTAGGTTAATGGTTTGCTGACGCTGAGAGAGGCCAGTGATGTTAGTGACAGAGGCAAAGGCAATACATCTTGCACAGGGAAGGGGGGGGCTGAGGAGGCTTCAGGTAGGTCAGAAACTAAGGCAAGGCTGGTGGAAAAATGCTTACAGGAGGTGTCCTCTGCTGTCATGATCGCAAGGCCAAAATGAAGAGTCTTGTTCTTTCACATAAAAAGTGTAGTTAATGCTTGGAAGGGGCTTGTGATCCCTGTTCACTCAGGTCTGTATTCTGAAAGGATGTTTCACCGCTGCTTTTCAGAATTTCCATGATTTTTTGGACAAAGAAAAAGCTCTCCCTGCGCAAAAAGCCAGCAGCCATATCGCCCTGCAGCTCCCAGCTGGCAGCCCCACTGGAGCTCAGCAATGTGAGCCTGGCCAGTACCTGGATGGGAGACTCCTGGGAAAGCTAAGGTTGCTGCTGGAAGAGGCGTTAGTGGGGCCAGTAGGGGTGTCACCCCGGTGTCCTGGCCAAATTTCCCCCTGGCCTTTACCAGTCATGGCCTCCTAATAATCCCCTTCTCTGAACTGGCTTCATCACTCTGCTCTCCTCCCCACTGAGAGCTGGTGTGTGGGGAGAGGACTGGTGCATCATCCAGGTGGGGTGATCTCCATTACCATTACATTTATTCCCTACAGTTTTCTTACACCTTAATGGAATGGTTTCCCACCGGGCATGGTTGATGACCACACCTCTCTGCAGTTTCTCTGGCGGTCTCTCTGCCTGGACTCGACTGAGCTTTCAAACTGCTTCAACTGGTCTGTATGCTGGTCCAGGCGATGAGGCAGGGAGCAACCGGGAAGGAATGCAGGGATAAATTATTGACGCCGCCTCGAGCACAATTCCCTTAATAACCGATGTGCTTTCAGCAAGCCAGGCTGCAGACCAAAGCACGTTAATTTGTTTCTATCCAGAGCAATCAGGGGACTTTCTCGTTCATGGGTTTGTTTATAAATTTACATTATCTGCACCCACATGCCCATAGATTATTTTTATGTGCTTTAATGTGTTAGTCTGGAGCACTGAGCGTTAATAAATCTGCTGGAGTAATGCACGCCTTAGATTCTACTCTTTACTGATGCGCTGAATTCCTCCTGGGGGAGGGCTGCCTGTCCCTTTCTGCAGGGCTCTTAAAGGTCTGTTTTTTGGGGATGGGGGCGGAACTCTTTAGCCTTTAAAGAGGGCAAGAACGAAACGCTTAAAATGCACCTTTGCAGCAGCAACGCTGTGGGATGGCCACAGTGAGTGCCCGCTGGCCGGACTGGGAAAGGGCACGGCAGGCCGGGCAGTGTCGCGAGATGGCAGGAGGAAGCTGAGGAAGATGGAAGGAGGGCCCATTCCCAGTCCGGCCAGCGGGCACTCACTGTGGCCATCCCACAGCGTTGCTGCTGCAAAGGTGCATTTTATACGTTTCGTTCTTGCCCTCTTTAAAGGCTAAAAAGTTCTGCCCCCATCCCCAAAGAACAGACCTTTAAGAGCCCTGCAGAAAGGGACGGAGTTTGTGGCACAGTGCCAGGGCATGTGTCACTCCTGGCTCTTGGCATTCTAATTGCCAGGCCTGGGGAAAAGTTGGAGTGATGGACAGCCCCTGGGGCAGCGATCGCCCTGTCTACCCAGGGCTACCTGGGGGCTGGCGCAGATGGATTGCCGGGGAGGGGAATTTGGGCAGCAGCGCGTCCTCTGGGGGTCTGCCTCCACGCTGTCGCTGCGTCCAGCCCGCCCTGGCGGCGCCGTTAATTTGACAGGTCCCATGTCGCATTAAGCCAGACAAACATGTCTTCCAGCGGCTCAACCAGGCAGAACGGTCACAGCTCTTATTTTAACAAGCCGCGATCGATCCCGGCTGCTCTGCTCACTGCCTCATGCTAACGGCCCCCCCCTCCACCCCACTCCCTCACGCGCTGCCGGCAGGAGTGAGGGGAGCGTCTGACGGGGGGCTGTGGATCAGGCACCCCTGGGGTTCACTCTGCGCTGCCTGTCAGAGGTCGCATTAAACAGGAAGCAAAATCCGAGTCCCTACAGAGCATTGCCTGCTCTGTTTCCCTCCTCTCATCGCTCAGTGGAACGCAGGCTGCTGTTTGTTTAAATCGGAGGACGTTTGTAAAAGATGAAGATAAATCTTTGTCCCTGTCAAGAGATTTGGACCACACCTGACACTTCGGTCAAAACTGTTTGAATGAACCCAGCAAAGGTCAGCCTATAACTTACCCAACCTTAGAGCTGACGTCCTTTTTGATGCCTCATAGACACACATTCTCCTTGATTTGACATCAGGGCTGGTCCACGGCTCTGGTCCACACTGGACCTCCAAAACACTGTCTCCCAGAGAAACAGAGGTAGAGGAGAAGCCCTGTTGGGTGGCATAGTGGTGCAGTTGTTAGCACTGCTGCGTCTTGGACCTGGGGCGCTGTCAGTCCGGAGTTTGTTTGTTCTCCCTGTGTTCCTGTTGTTTTCCTCAAGGTGCTCAAGGTTCACATTTTTTTTATGCCTGTAGCTCATTTTTATTACAGTAACATGTGACTGTAAAGGGCTTTAAAATGCGTCTTGATAAAAGCAGTCTCTGTCATAATAGTCTGCGTAAGCTACTACCTCCATATTGCATGGAAATTGAAAAAGTACCACGAGTTCAATTGCTTTCCATGTACTTTCTTTTATAAAATGGACATCATAAATGGGGGAAAAAAGAACAGAACATTAAAAATCGGTCAGTTTTCCAGGTGTAAAGAAACAATTTACATAATTTCACCAAACGTAATATCTGGCATTCAGAATCAGAAGACTGTGTCCCTCAGTTTTGTTTAGCTTTCTGCCTCCTGTAAAAAAAAACCCTGGTTCACATACTGTACTGGTGTTCTGGGAAAACTGGCCCTGGTGTGAGCATGCGTGTCCGTGTCTGTGGGTACCTTGTGATGGATGGTGTCTTGCCCAGGGTGTACCCTGCCCTACACCTACTGCTTGCTGGGATAGGCTCGGGCTTCACTGCGCCCCTGAACGGCACGAAGGAGGTTAGGAAATGGTTGGATGGGAATGTCTCATTCTAAGATGGCGCCAAGCACTTTATTGCATAAGAAAAACAGAACTGATCCTAGAACCAGTTCTGGACAAAGTCATGCGTAAATGATTTGACCCTTTAACCTTTTTTTAAGACAGCCCTTGACAGTGTCCGGATAGGCTGCCCGAGCACCCAGTTGGTCTTCCCGGGATGGGAAGGGGAAAGACCAG